TGCTGAAATTCTTCTGCAGAGCTTCAGAAATTTAGATCATCGCAGTATCATTCCCATAACCTCTGGTGTTCAAGCTCTCTCTGACTCCTCTCTGTAGGAAGAACGAAACCCAAAATAAGCTCCAGGGTTGCTATTTGAATGTCTGATATATCCTTGAATTTCCTGATCTTTATAATGTCTTTGTGAATGTAATGTGAACAGAAACATTTAAAATTAAAAAGTGACTTCAGTTTATACATCATGCATGGTTGCAAAGTCAAACAAAACAAATCTTTCTAATGATTGTAACTATATTTAAATATATATATATGTGTGTGTGTGTGTGTATGTGTACATACCTACAGTAATTTTATTTTTCTTTCAGGTGCATGTTAAGAGTTCTGGATTCCTTTGGAACTGAACCGGAGTTTAACCATGCCCATTATGCCCAATCTAAAGGCCACAAGACACCATGGGGAAAATGGAACCTTAATCCACAGCAGTTTTATACAATGTTCCGTAGGTATCCCTGGGTTCAAAAATAACATGACACTTAAGAAAGGAATGTTGTCATTGAGAAGAATTTTTGTATTATTAAAGGCAAGTTCATGGTTTAATGAAATGCAGGGAAATGGGTAATTGCCTGTAGACTGTGCAAAATCTCAGTAGTACTTTCATCCAGAGGTCAGAAAAGCACAATATGAGATTAATTTAAATAATAGCAGGGAAGTTTTATCTCAGGGTGCCTACAGAAAGTGGTGATCACAGCTTTTCCTTCAAGTGTCTCTTGAGCTTCTCAAATCCTGCTACAGTGTGAAAAGTTTTTGAGGTACTTGCTAGAGTGATTGCATTTTTATAAACTGCTTTGTTCTTATATATGGACATATTAATCCAAGGATTTTGGCTGTGTTGTTGTATTTCTGCCTTTTTCCCCAACAACTGAGCAGCACAATTCCTTTCCTATTTCTTTACATTCAGGATTCATAAACTGTCACTCAGCAAAAATGGTTTTTGTCTCTGTAATTTTTTTGTGGATACTGTCAAGATTTTCGTCTAACTTGTTCTCCTTTTGCGAGCATTCATCCTGAGGTGAACTGATCCAGATTTTTATCCCAGTGACGTACGAAGCTATTGAAAAATTAGAATGTGAGAGTAACTAAACGTTTGAACAATTCAGAAGTGGATTAGCGTATTTCGCTATTGCTGTACGTTTTTGAAACATCATTAAGTATCTTCCAAAGAAGAGAACTAAAACAGAAACACAACAAAAACCATCTCTGAATTGTGTGTGAATTGGATCCGATTAAATATTTTCAGTGACCTACTCTGACCCTAATCTTTAACTTTATGGGGTTAGGTTCTAGAATCGAAGGCTCTTTCTTTTGCTTTTAGTAGCAGTGTTTATTCAAGTTTGTTATCTCTGGAAGGTGCAAAAAGATTAACTGCTCCCAGCCAGCTTGAGGGGAGTGAGGTTTAGGGAAAAGGAAAGTGCATGTTGTTGTGTGCAGCTGCCTCTCAGTCTAGGTCTATACAGACACTCTTGGTAGTGCCCAGCATGACCCATGGAGGTTGGTGGGATTCCGTCTCTGAAACCACGGCCAGGGCAAGTACAGTTCTCTCTGAACAGACCTCACAAGTCCTTCAAACTTTCCACTCTTCATAACAGAAGCATGCACACTGGCATCTGGTTGACATGCCTTTGAATTTAGTTGCCCCGTAAAATTCTTGGAAGAGGCATATTTTGTCTGTCAACATTTTCTGTGCAAGTTTGTCCAGAGAAATATAAATGAAGGTTGTTCAGCAGATAAAAGGCTACTTTCACAGTTGTTTAAAAGCAAGTAACAAAAAGCAAGTTGAGGAAATGTGGCTTGGAGGTGGTTACAGAGTTTCTGCCTGGATGGTAAGAAACAGAACTTGTTCCATATCCACAGACTTTGCTTTTTACTTCCTGAGACTTTAGCTAATATTTATTTGTTTATGTCCTATGAATGGAAGATGAGCCCAAGGCTTGACTGTGCTGTTTAAGTAGTCCAGTTCAGAAGTCTGTGCGTGAGGTTCCGCTCGAGATAGCGCCCAGGGTGATGGTGCACTTGAGGAAAGTAGTTGCCTGAATACTTGTGGTATAGCTGTGTGCCCTCCTCAGCCCCGCTCCATGAAACAGGGAAGAAGGTAAACTTTTCCAACAGAGAAATTCTCTCTTTTGTTGCCTCTGTTATAGGCGACTGCTACATTCTCTTGCTCAGAGCAAATCAGTTCAAAGTGAATTATCAGAATAGTAAGACTATATTGGAAATGGAAGAAATAACTATTTCAGCTTTTTAATACTAGAAATGACTGCTCTTTTCCCCCTGCAGGAAAAGTGGTAAGTAGATTACAAGGAGACTCATTCTGAAGCGTGAGTGATTACAGCGCTGTAGATTGTTCAAGGAATTTTCTTCTTTTTGTACTAGGTGCAAAAAAGTCAGCACGTTTTGTGATATTTAAATTTTATTGTGTTTTTTTTTCCCTCTGTTGCAGAGGTAGCACAGTCTTTACTGGGATGTGATTAAAAAGTTTGTTTGTGCATCAGTAAGGATTTTATCCTAGACTGGAACCCTGAACAGCTTCCCAAGAGCCACAGGCTGTTACTGTGCTTTGAGGACGCTGGTTATAAGGGCTGAAGGTTATTAGTGAGGGCTGAGCAAGCCACGTTCTAACTTGCTGTATGTTAGCAGAATGCTTCGCTGTATTCTCTGAGTCTTCCTGAAGCACGAGTTTTTTCCCTTTTTATGTTCTTTGTTTAAATTCTTTTATGCAAAATAACAGCACTAGTGCTTTTAAAAGTGCGTGATCTTGCTTAAATATCCTTCTGAATGCCTCCTGTCAGTGATCTTTGAGGCAGTGAATACCACCAGTTGATCATAAGTGCTAACTTTAACAAAGGTTTGTTTTTCTTTTGAGCGCGTACTGCCCTGCTCTCCCTTGAATGCAGTCTGTGATCCAAAACCATGAAAGGACGGAAAAATGCTCTTCTGAGGCATATTTGCACTGTGCCATTCGTTATGCTGAATTCTAACGAGTTCTTGGATCTGAGTGAATGCCTGGCTGTTGCTGAGGAATTTTTTTGTGAAAAAGAGTAATTGTCATTAGAAAGACTAAATTTAATGACAGAGGAAAATGTGCGCTGTGTATGATTTCCCTCTTTTACTGCATTATCCATTTGGCTGATTTTCAAGAATCAACAAGGAAAAAACTCAAAATCGCAACAGATTTTTTTCTTTTAGAAATTTGAATGTACGGTTTAGCATGGCATGTGTCATGTCTGCCTGGCGTGGTGGTGGTGGTGTTTTTCTTTTGGGTTTTTTTTTTGTTCTTTACTTTGCCAAGTGTGCTTACTAAAAAGTTTTCAGCTTGTGTGCCGGAATGAGAAAGGGGAAGCTGAGGCGGGAGTTCCTAGTATTTATTGCAGCATGTTTCTGTGTAGCTTTGTAAGGCTATAACACTCTCTAGATATGCACAAAACCCCTCACGTTTTGGGACAGATTTTATACAGTAGGTGTGGTTCTTAACTGAAGCCTTGAACACTAGAGACCGTTCCTGGAATTAAACACCCTATCAAAAAAAGAAAAAGGAGACTTAGTTGTACTGAGCCTACAGCTATGTCTCCTCATAGGAGGAGAGCAGTGCTAGCATTACTGGATGTCGCTGCTGAAAAAAGACCAGTAGAGACTAAAGGCAATATAGAAGAGTTCAGAGTAAATTGCATGTCCTTTGCCTGCACTTTATTTGTCTGGGAACTGGATTAGTGCAGAACTTTTGCCAACTTCTTTAGCTGTCACCTTGGAGTATTTTTTGAGAGAGATCTGTGAGTGAATTAAGGAGTGAAAACTGTGTTTTGATCTCCTGTTTTGTATGACTTTATGCATCAACCCTAATTATTAGCCTATAACGTGCAGTGAGTTGGTGGTTTGGAGTTAGCCCTTCCAATATATGAGATGAACCCCAAAAAGTTACTAAAGTTTATTTATGCTCTGTAAAATAATATTTTAATATAATATTTTTATATAATTTCAATTTTAGTATTTTTATTGCTATTATAATATTTTTATATAATTGCTAATTAGCAATTTACAGCTTTGTTATCAAGCACATATACGTTGTTTTTTTTTAACTGTTGGTACTGTGTTCTCTGAGGTTGTCAAGCTGGATTCCTTCTGGTTCTCTTATCTCTAATAAAGCTGAGCACACAGAAAATCGTTATCGTTGGCCTAGGTCCAGATACAGAATTTTTATTGCAGGCAGGAAATGAGCCAGAAAATAACTGCTTACTTTGGTAGACATGTGCAACAGGACTTAAAATTAATAAGAACTATTCTTAATAATAAAGCAAGCAATTACATCTCTCAGTATGTATGTAAAGAAGTGATCTATTGAGTAATACGTTTCTTGTAACTACTTTTCTGACAACAGCTACGGTTTTATAACATTAAGTGATGCTTTAAAAGATTTTGAATATGCTCGAATTTCTTACAGCTCATACTCCGGATAACAGTTTCCTTGGATTTGTGGTAGAGCAGCATCTGAATTCCAGTGACATTAAACACATTAATGACATCAAAAGGCAGAATCAGTCTCTAGTTTATGGCAAAGTGGATAACTTCTGGAAGGTGAGTATTATCTTGATCAAGATAATAAGGCATAACTCATAACTTCTCTCAAAATTTACCATCCCTTCTCTCAAAATTTACCAAGTTCTTTTTTTGAAAATAAACATATTTAAAGAATTGAGTTAAATGTTTTGGAGCCTTTCAGATGAGGAAACATCTACCTACCTCAGTGGGGATGGATCCTTTGCTATTTCTTATGCCCTCCCTCTTCTCTGATGGGGGGAGGGGGAGGAAGTGCAAAAGCTTCTAGTGTATGTAGCTGTATATAGGTGCATGGTATTTTGAGAGCTGAGTACCATTTCCCTTCTTTGACAAAGGACTTAATGTATATACAAATAATTAGAATGTTTATTTTGTCTCCATAAAATAATACTAATTTTTACAGTGCTGATATCAGAATAATCTTGGAAAATGCAAAAGCTGTTTAAAGTAATGGGAATTTGAAGGAGTGCAGAAGCTCTGTAAACTTTAATCATTGGCATAAGCAATTTTTTCTTTCAGTGATTAACTTTCTTGTGTCTACAACTAAAAATGTTCTGTATTCTAAAATGGAAACTATGTTTCACCAAAGCCCCTAGAAGTGTGAAATCTCATTGTATCTCCATGTAATAATGTAACACGGGCCTTCTGCCTGGCACTCCTGGTGCCACAGACAATTCCATCTCTGCATCCAAGTAATCTCTAAGGGCCCTTGGGGTCAGCAGTCAGTGACATGAGTGTGAATTATGCCCTATTATATAGTGATCCAGCTGTCAGGAACAGCAAGGAGGAGGAGGTAAAAGGGTAGAGAGACTTGTGAAAGACGTGCTGCTTTATCTCCTCTTTCACCAGGATACAATTCTCCAAATACAGAAGTTAACTTGCTGGTGTGAAAGAGTCTGCTGATTGCCACAGACTGTTTTGTTCGAGAAGAATTTAAGCAGTACAAGTTTTTTCTGGAGTACAGCTGTTATAGACCATAACCAACCTCGTTAAAGTGTATAGTTAACATGAAAAAGGAAATAAAAACTGGGAAGTGGACATTCCAGTGTTTTCAGAGCATCTTGCATTTAAAATAATGACGTGTACCTGGAGCTTTCGTAGAAGATAGGCTTGATGCTGGTCTTGTGTCTGTCCCATTATAAGATGACCAAGACCTTATTCATTACTAGAAGACTCTCCCAAGTCTGGAACTTCCATCTACACCCCATTTAGTGAATTTAGGCTGAAGACCCTGTGTCAGGCTTCTTTGGAAAACCTATAAACACCCCTTTGAATGCTATTTCTTCAACTAAACTGGTGAGAAAATCTGAGAGGCTTTTTATCATCTACCTTTATCTTTTTATCTTATCACATAAAAGATGACCTCAGGTTTCAATCTGTTATCATACGACTCCTGGTGCTTTCTCATTATTTTTCACTATCACGCTTGAAATAAAAGCTTAGCCAGGGAGTATTGTTTACAGTTTCCAGATATGATGTTTGTTCCCTACAGTTATTGGACTGTAGCTAATCTCTTCAGGAAGTCTATCGAAAGTGTGAATGATAAGCCCTTCCATCAAATTTGTCAGATCTGTTGGCTAAGCAAAAGCTGACAGCCACCAGAGCCATAGCTGGATCTCCAGCTTCATTAGGACCAGCGTCTGCGGAGGAGAGCTATAGAACACTGTTCCTGAGTTTTGGTCAGATTTTCAGTAAAATGTCGTATATTGGACTAAACTCACAGTGGCCTCAGGTTTTTGTCCACTGTCCTTTCCTGGGGCTCCTTCTTCCAGGTTCCCACAACTGGGACTGCATCTTTCATGCTATTTTCAGAGAAATTGGATTGCTTACTAATAACTGTATTTTTTTCAAGAGTCATGTCTGTTTGTGACACATCCCCTATCTGCTTTTTCTGCTCCCTAAAAGGCCCTTATCTTCTAAGCTTCTGTCAACTGAAAAAGGAACTGATCAGTACATGCTGTGCCATACATAGACAGACCAAATAATAGGACAATTTGAGAGTGCTTGTGTCTCACGTTTTCCTTTCTTTTCCCTTTATTGACGTGGAATATCTGTCTCGCACAGTTTTCTGAGCCATAGAAGCACCATTTAGTCTGGTAACTGTGATTATACAGAAAAAATTCTTGAAGAACAATAAGTAAGTGGTCCATCTGTCAGACAAAACAAAGCAAAACCTTAAGAGAAATAGATGAATGTTACCAGTGCTGGAGGCGCAAAAAACTGAAGATCTAAATGTTTATTGGCTACTGTGCTGAGAAAAAATTGTATATTAAGGCTGTGCATTTTCGATTGAGATCTCTCTGCTTGTATTTTGGCTTACAGTCCTAAACCATGTCATCTGTGTCTTGAAAGCAAATTTTGCTTATCTTTGTAAGTAATACTGTGATAGTTCTTCTGTTTGGCTCATGATGTAGAATCTCTCGTATCTCTCCATTTGCAGTCTGCTCTTCTGTCTGCTGAATGGTGGAATAGAGCTGGGTCTTAATCTGAGCCTTTGTGTGGATGAGGCTCTTGTACTTTCAGTTCCTGATCTCATTATCAGTCTCTTGGGAACAGTTGGGTGTAATAATCACCTAAACTTCCTGATCTGATTGGTAGGAAGTGCATAACAGAACAACGTGTTGAGTTGTTGGTTCTGAGAACAAGGTTGTTGCTTAGTCACCAGGATTTTTGAGCTGATGTATATATCTTTATCAGTTTGTTCTGTCTGCATTAATTCAGCAATATCTGTTAATAGCCTATGTGCCTGGAGGAGAGCCTTGTAATAGGTCTACTCTGAGGTTCTGTATGATACACAGGATATTCGTGAGCTGATTCAGACAATAACATGGCTTTTTGGAAAAAGAGCATCTAATGTTGATTTTTTTAAATAGCATGCACTGGAAAGAAACCCCACTACCTTTCCCTGGTAAACTCTTTAAATAATTGCCCTCTCTCTTAAATTCTGCATTATTTTTTGTTCAGATTCCCAAACTTTCAATTTCTAGGCTTTATATCAATTATACGCTTTGTCGACTGGATTGATAATGTTTCTATTACCATGTAGGATTATATCGGTTGAGGTCAAAGTCTTCTTTCTGAAAAGCCTATACTGAAAGCTTTGTGCTTTCTAATGCTTAGGTGCTCTCATATATTTGTTTTCTCTGACCCTTCTCAAGATTGTTCACTTTCTTAAAATGTGAATGCTAGCAAGGGGCCCATTGGCCTTACCAGCAGCAAATGAAAAAGAAACACCGTATGCGTTATTAGGCATATCTCCTTTTCGCCAGTGGGAACTCATATCAAGATGACTTCTCAGCCAAGACCCTTCTGCCCTTTTTTGGAACTGCTGCTCTTCAGGACACTGCTCCATTTTATAAGTATTGCCTATCCTTTTTCTTCCAAGATGTATGATTTAATAATTAGTCATATTAAAAAGTATACTGCATGCTTGTAACATCAAGCATATCGTAACTGTAACTTGCATTCTGGCATGCCCATACTTCTTATGCATTGGTACAATCACTGCAGATGATAGAGTTTGCATCAGTGACATTGTGGAAAGTCTTATTGAGAGTGATAAAAATCGAATTCTTCTCATCAACAGAAATGCTTGAACTAATCTCATGTCTGTATAATTTGCTTATTTCATGTTTCCTTCATCTCCCCAGTTTAATGCTCTTTTCATCTGCCACTATGACTTGTACTGAACCAGGCTGATCTATTTATCCTGCTACTTTTCTTTATATTGGACATGGCCAATTAACAAAAACTGTAATCTCGACAGAATACATGTGTCGCTGCTGTGATGCATCGAATCAGTTGTTGAGAGGAGCACAACGTGGAGGGGAAAAAGTTCTGAATTCCAGACTGAGGGGCTTTTTAGGAATATCGCTTGCAAATAACTTGTTTAATTTTAAACCAATCAGATCTGAAATGGATCTGAGATACACACAGGATACCAGACTGTCAGTTCAGAGTGATTCTCCCCACCCACCCACCCCACCCCGAGGGAGAACCGGAATAGCAAGCCACCATCAAGGTTTTATGTAATTATGGACGTATCTCCTTTTCTGCATCCAGCCTGGCCTGCAGGAGAAAGATCCCAAATTGCTTGTCATTTTACCTTTGTTAAAAATCCCCATATCCCCAGCTGGCCTGATAATGCTGCATGACTGGACAGAATTGGCTAGCTGGCACCACCTGTTTAAATTGTTTAAACGAACCTGCTTTATTGTAGCTAAAGAGAATTATGGATTGCTTACAGACAATGTTCTGCCTCGCCATATCATTTGAAGAGGGTTAAATTCTGATATGAAGACGACATTCTGATAGTTCTGCTGGATACAGAAAAAGATGTCAGCCCATGGCCTGAGACCAGTGGCATTAATGCCATTTTACAGTGGGGATGTCTGGATAAATTTTGATGGAGATCATGAAGCATATATGCTGCAGAGACTGCAAGAAACCTAGATCATCTTGATCATTTCCCTCTGACAACTGAATTAGCCTTAAGTGGGTTGAGGAGTACAAACAGACACTAAGTGCATTGCTAAAGGTAATCCTTATAGGTAAACTATCAAAGACAACATTTGCCAAGCTATGAATGTGTTTGTTGTAATCAGAGATTTTAGTTTTTGTCTGGGATTTCTGGCGACGCTAATGACTAGAGACCTCTCTCTGCCTGAGTGAAATGGAATGAGTAAAACGCGAGTGAAACCCATAACACTCTCCATTATCAAAATTGACTTTAATTATAGAACATTTCAATTAAAAAGGAATGTTTGAAGCCTTTCATGTAGTCTTCACTCCTGTTTAAGTACGAGCCTTTTCTTTATTCTTCTTCATGCAACCCCACATCATACTGTTCTGTTATTTCTGCCCTCAGTCCTACATAGAAGAGTGAATCAAGATAATTATTTGCTCCATCTTGTTTTGCGAAATGCCATGAGAATTTCACCTGTATCAGAAAATAGCCATGAATATGTAATATGCAATCATAAGATGGTTACCTGCAGAAAGTTTGTATTACAAGGTAT